CCATTCACTGAATCAATGCCACATGGTAGACCAGTGTTGACACTAGGGATTACAAACTTGTGACCCAGGAGCTAAATCTAGAATCCAGAAATATTTGTCTAGGAGTGTTTAAATAAAAACAAAATGTCAATCCTTTAGAAGGTCTGCATGCTCTCCAGTTCCAAGTTCCACGACTCCCTACGGCTTCTGGCCCAGTTGTTTCACACATTTTGTTCAAAAGAGCTACCTCTATTGAGTGTTTGCTCTGTGCCATACTACACTGGATACTTGATATACATTATCTCACATTTGTTCTCACAACAACCCTGAAAGGTTGGCATTAATAGTCCCATTTTACCAGTGAGTAATTTGGCACCTAGAGAGGTCCAGTGATTTGCTCCAAGTTGCATGGCTTGTAAGGTTTAGATAGAACTTGAAATCAGGTCGGGGGGATCTCAGTCAGTCTCTTAACTTCTGTGAGCTTTACATGAAGTCCTAAAAAGTGATTTGGCCTAAAAGATGAACGAGGCCTTATTGATACCCTGACTCCATGACTGGTGTTTTATACCCTCCATCTCATTTAAAAATAAATGCAAATATTAGATTAAGTTCACATTCAAGTTTCTTTTTTTTTTTTAAGTTTTAGATATATACTACTTTTTTTTTTTTTAAATCTTCACCCTTTAAGACTAAATTGAATATTCATACAGATCATGCATAATCTAGGGTCTACTTAGGTTGTTGGTATGAATTTCACCCCCAAGATTAGAGTAGGTAAGAAATGTCACTGTTACGTACATCAGTTTATTTTCTTGAATTTAAATTAAGTCCGCCTCTAAACTCTAAGCTCACTGTGTTGGATAGAAATACCAGACATTGCTAGGATTCCAGAACCCCCTTCTCACATCTCCTCCCTCCCATCCCCACCCTCAAAGAGAGGTCCTGTGAGGTCCAGTAGGGTAGACAGGCTGCCCATTCTCCATCTTTAGCGGGCACTGGTCACGCTGCTGTGATCCTTGCCCATGCTTACAGGGTCTCAGCGAGGCAGGCACTCCAGAGTTCCTGAGGCTGCCTTGGGTACAGGCATGCCTGCCTGAGCGCCTTGGCCTCATAAGCAGCCCATTCCCTTGACAGCCTGTGCCTGTGGGGTGGTTGTGGAAGAACAGGCCATGTGTCCCAACTACTCATGACCCTGCAGACTCCCCTCCTCTGTACCTTGAGGAATTTTTCTCCCTGTTCTCCCTCACCATTTGTGCTTACTTCCTATTCTCAAAAACACACCTTTCTTCTCTCCTCCTAGTATATTGCCCTCAGTGTGGGCTTGTGATTTAAAACCATCTAAAAATATATGTGCTTTAAGCAACTTCAGCTTTGGCTTGTATTGCAACTTACCAGATAGAAAGCAACAGAAGGCCAGGAGATTTTCTTTGGGGGGCGGGGAGTGAGAGGGGAGGTGCAGGGGGCTGAAAACAGAAAAAAAATTCCCAGCTTGTCACTTTTACTATAATTAATGAAATTAATGCAGATGGTTTACTTGAAACTCAGCATAGTGATTATAAATCAGGCTTGGGAGTTTAAATCCAGCTCCACCACAAGTTATAATCTCTCTCCATACCTTGTTTTTTTTCATCTATAAATGGGGATACTAATGGTAATTATTTCATAAGGTTGGGTTTAAATGAGTTTTAAACAATTTCATATAACGTTCTCTTAAAGCACTTTCATAGGCAGGTCTAAGAGTTTAGAATAAAGCCTGGAATGTAATAAGCACTAGGTTTTATTTGTTATTTCTTGAATTCACTAAGCAATCGAATAGAATTCAAAACATAGAAACAAATAAACTGTATGAAGCTGTTGCTGTTTTGGATATCAATTTTGAGAGTAATTCAATTGATTGTGAATTTTGAGCCCTAAGTGACACAAGTTTAGTCCTAAATGATACAAATTTTAGAAAACCCTAAATCAGCTTTATACTTGTAGCCATACATAGGCTTGAATTACCACATCCAAATTCGAACCTCTCCGTTAAAATCCTTTTTCTCTCTTCTACTTCTTTCCCTTCTCCTTGAAGTATTCTTAACTGTGCATGTATCGCATTTGTGAATTACCTTCCTACTTGTTTTCCCTGCATCTTCAAACAGTAATGCATTCCTCAAAAACACATCATTCTGCTGTGCAAATATCTTCATAGGGGAAATTTGAAATTGACAAATACATTCACTTAAAATTTGCCTTGTGTTGAAAATTAAAGAAAAAAATTTCAATTGGCTATTTGTGCATCGTTATTAGTAAATCAACCCAATTTGATGTAAAGATGGATATTATGGTCATTTCAAAGTGATTTTTGGTTTTGGTAAGTGGGTCCTACAGCATTATGTCTTCATTTTTGTGAGTTATTGCACCTGGCTAGTATTTTCATTGCTGCCTTATGTTTATTTGCTGCAATTCCCTCTCAAAACTGTGTGCACTGGTTATAATGGTAATGAGGAAGATAACTCAAACTAAAATTCAAATCATAGAAGCTTTAGACAGATAGGAGAGTTAACTCATTTTCAGCATGTGCAGGCTAAATTACGCATGGGATGAAATAGAATAGGCAAATTGCAGCATAATAATACACAGTAAGTTTAAAACATATAACCTGTACAGTATTTAAACTGGCTTTAATATTCCTTGAATACCACATTATGGTTTTTCATACATCCTCTCATTCCTCTCTTTCCCAGTCCTCGTGCCCCACCTTGAGAGGATAATGATTTCACAGGATCTAGACTCAGGATTAAATTTCGCTTGCTCTACTGTCTCCAGTTAACGTCTTTGTTATTACTGGTCTGTTTTTGTTGTTGTCTTTCACAAGTCTTTGACTCGGTAGCAGTAGCAAATGATGGAGATCTTCAAGTTTCTCAAAAAAAAAAAAAAAAAATGCCTTTCAGGGTAATATCACTCCACCTGAGAGGATGCCTCCCTCGCTCCTTGGCCGAGCTGAATCACTGATCATTGTGCCCACGGTCTAATTGTGATAACAGACTAATTGCAGCTGTTACGGGGATGCCAGCTCAGTAATCTGTGTTTCTCAATGGCAGCTTTGTTTTGTAGGGCCATCTCTGACAAGACTCAATTGGCAGATATTTTTCTAACAAATGTTCATCCCAGATGCTGCTAGTGTTTAAATAGGATGTGCCAAGATTTAGATAGAAATATAAAATCATTTGATATTTTAAAACCTAGAAATCTAAAATAATCTCAGAGAAAGAACAGTAGTTCTTTATGTGGGGAAGTGCCCGGTGCTTGGTAAAAAAAAAAAAAAAAAAATTTTGTACTGTTTATATGTAAAAAGAGAACAGGGCCTATATTTATAATACTTTAACACCATGGTTGGAACAATGGAAGCATCACTGTTAAGCCCCCATATGCGATGCAGATATCTTCATTATCTCCCATTCAGGGTTTTCACTGAAGTCTAATCAACGATTTTTTGTATGTGCAATTTTCTAGAACGTTTGCTGTTCTAGGAAGTCCTGAAGGTCTAACCCAGCAGTGAAAACCAGCCTGTTTCCCCAGATACCTATTAAGCAAACCACTTTGAGACTTATAAGTTAGATCCCCTCTAAAGGTTTTTTCTACATTTAAATTCCAAACAAAGGCAATGCAGAAGTTTCACTTTCTCTTTATGCATAATTTATTGCTTGGTATCCCTCCAAATAAAATCCCTGTGCGGATGGATGATCGCCACCCCTTCCATGTCTGTGTGGTTGCTGCTAGAGTGAGCAGGGAAATAAAACCAAGGGAATGAAAATGGATATTTTGGTTTTATTACATCGTTAAGCCAGTTTTGTGCATTGGATTATCTAGCATGTTAGTAATAAATGGTTTCTCTAATTATTTAACATGTGCGCAATATAAAGAAAATGTGTAATACAGTCATATGTTGAAGTCAGGAATAGCAAAGCCGCCAGATGGCTAGTAACCAGATTAAAACAAAACAAATCACAATACGATTTTTAAAAAAATGAAGCAAGTCCGAACTTTTCCCAAAATACTTTTATTTTTAGGCAGCGATTAGAAACAAAGTGTACCAGCACACAGTTAAACTGGCTTTTATTCTTCACCTGAGACTAGTTCTAATTGATCACTGTGCTATTGTATGATTTGATTGTGCTGACAGTTACATGCCACTGTTCCCATAATAACAATTTTTCTTCTTTGTTCAAATGAATTTCCTAATGACACGTGTGATGGGATGTTTTAATTCTTTTCCCTTTTCAAATCCACCTTCCTGTTGCAATGCATGATGGGCAGGCTCAATATTGTGCATGACACCCGCTACAAGTGTTGGTAGGTCCCAGCTTTGTTTCTTGATTATCTTAAACCTATGGTGCACCTCACAGCCCCTCAAAATCCACTGCTAAGTTTTAACTTGTATCTATTGGGCAAGTCCATTTCCCTTTTACTAACACCTGTCAATTAAATGCCATTTTCTATTTAATTGACATGGACTCACACAAATGTTTTCTTTACACACAAGTTTCCTTTAGTCACCTTTGGTGGATTTTGATTGGACTATGAGTTCTGGTGTGTAAAAAAAAAAAAAAAAAAAAAAAAACCTGTATCGTAAAAGTAATATACTGTGTATTTTTATAATAATGAGTAAGAAAAAATACGTTCATTCAAACAGATAACTGTATAAATGAAGTAAATACCTGTATTTTGATGTAGATTTTGAATGTCTGACTGTGAACACTATATAAAATTCTTGTTTTTGACGTAGCAAATTAAGCCTGTTGTGTCAATTTTCTTGATTTGATGGTAACAAGCTTTTTTTCCCCTTTTTTTTCTCTTTCATCCCCCTTCCCCTTCTCTCCTTGGAATGTTGTCCCGCTTTGCGCTGTGATTGCATGTCACTCGCTGGTGATGATGTCCCGTCACATGGCTTATTGCTGTGATAAATACCATGCCCCATTATCGCCTCCATGTTGCCATGGTTTCCATATTGCTACACTCTTCTGTATGTTTGCTTATCTGATTTTCCCTCCGAAAGTTCCCATGGTGCACGGTGCTACGCCAGCCACTGTGTCCGCAGCAACAACATCTGCCACAAGTGTTCCCTTCGCTGCAACAGCCACAGCCAACCAGGTTTGCTAATTTACAGCTTTGTTTCTTAAAAACCAACCCTAATAGAGCTCGGTCCAACAGCCCTTACGCACGTGGCTTTCCCATTGAGGTCAGTGGGAATCGTGTGTACGTGAGGGCTGTGGTGGGTGCTTGAATAGCATGGGGTTTCAAAGATACCTCTTGTTGGCCTACACATTCTCTCTATGATGAGCAGCAGAATGCTTTGATGCCATTTACAAGTGCTCCAGAGTTGTCGCGGCTCCGTTTCTAAAGCTACTAAAATGATATTTACACAAGCAATTCTCACTGGGTCTCCAACGTGCAGGGATTTTGACCGGTCAAAAATGCAGCTAATTTTAGGTGTCCATTATGAACATTTGGTATATACTGTTTCTTAGTTCTTGCCTAAATTCTTAATAAAAGGCAAAATGTTTAAAAATACGTTATATATGCCACAAATGACCAGTCTTGTAAATAGAGTTTGTTGCAAATTCATGACGGTTTTGTTTGATAAGCAGACTGTATGTTCAAAATAATTTAAATTGGCGTCCAGGTTTTGATTCTCAGTGCTTTCAAGGAAAAACAAACACAAAAACAAAACAAAAAAACCCCCACACGCTCTTATTTCTGTAAGAAAATCTAAGCATAGATTTTGGAGAGTTATGAAGGAAAAAAAGACATCAAAGATGGTAAATTGAGTCATTCTGTGTTCCATACATGTTTGTAGAGTAATGGTTTCACAGTTTACTCGTAAGTAAGTGGGATCTGTTTCAGAAACTTGAATTTTGTGACGTGGAAGACTGACTATTTAAAAGAAAATGATTATTAAAATAGTTAAAGTTTAAAAATTGACCTTGGCTCAGCCAGCATTCTCTGATCCTATTTTAAATTGTGCCCTAGAAAATAACGGTTGAATCAGTCAAACTTAGGTGAAGGAGGTTTTGGCTTTAACGTATATAGGTGTGTTTGTTACAGAAGCAAAGTTCAGTACGGTTAATAGCATGTGAAAAAATCCAGAGCCAAATCAAGTTTCAGATAACCCACGGACTACGGGTAAATGTAGCCAAATGAAGCAAAGGAGTCAACATGTGGCCCCTTGGGCAGAGAAGGCCAATTAAGTGCCATCTGAATTGGTATTTACTGCTGTGAGAAGTGGGCAACCCCGCTCTCTACCGGACACCACGTCCTGTTGGAGAACCATAAGCTATTAGTGTAGCCATTAAAAACTTTCAAAAGCAGCCTGCCAAAATGGATGTAGTTTAAAGTTTCAGGCAAGCTTTAAACATTTCTTGGCAAAAAACCATTAGTTTTTCTGAAGCTTGTCAAAATAGCCCTGGATTTATGCTAACACATCAGACTCATTTACAAGAATTCTAGATTGTGCATATGTGGCATGTTAGTAAGTAATCTATGGCAGAAATTTCTTAATGGATTCAACGCGATCCATTTATGGTGCAAATTGATGATGCTGAGCTCTGTGCATTTACCACATATGACGACAGAATTGCTGGTGTAAGCCGAACTATAGCAAAGCAAATTCCAACATGCCCTGGGCCACCTGGGTTGTAGGGGACACTTTACTTTTTGCATTGTGCTGTGACCATTTCATGCATAATCTTGGGTCTTCGTACTGTTTTACAACCAAAGGAAAGAAAAGGGAAATGGATATATATATAGACACATATATTATATCTACATATACATACATATGTATATGCCTACAGTATATTAGCAATGCTGGAAATAGCTGATGCCACAAAATGCAGCCTGCATGCATGCAGAAGTTTATAGCTGGCCCTTCATCTGCATCGATTGGTGTTGAAGGTCCTTGGTATGTTTCGACAGCCCCATCCTTGATGCTTCTACACTGTTGGGTGCAACATCCTGTCCTGCAGCAGCAGGAAAAATGGTATGAGAAGCTTCATTATGCTTGGAGCACATTTTCGTGCCATTTGCCAATGCTATAAAAATTGTGTAAAGATGTCAGCTGAGAAATGGAAATAAAATAGAAGCATATTAATTTACACTCCAGACTGTGGATTATAATATGTTGAATTAGTCTAGGACATCTAAATTGAAACAACAACAACAACGAAGTGCCTTCACGGACGTGATTTCGCTCTTCTCCCATCACCCTTGCCGAGATGGGATGAGCGCCATTTTACAGACGAAGAAGCTTTTAAGCATCGAGTAATTAAGTGCTTGGCTCAAGGTTACACAGCCAAGAAATGGATCCACCAGGGTTAGAACCCGTGCTTTCAGTCCTCTGACTGCCTCACGCTACCGCGCTGCCTGTTCCCAGGTTAGCGGCCACAGTTCTGGGTTGGAGGAGAATCAGGCTACAAATTGGAAGGTCATTGCTTTGGGGACCATTGCGATGAGGCACCTGTATATTGATTTCTTACTGTATTTTCTCTCAAGTTTTTTAAATTCTCGTGCCCATTTAAAATACGATAAATTGTGCCATCAGGATTCAGAAATGGGTTCTGAAATGAACCTAGGCTCCCATCGGGTTCCTTTGAAGTACTCCTTTAAAATTCCTACCTGGTATTTTTAATTTAAAAAAAAAAAAAAAGGCTAGAAACCATAAGTTGAACAAAAATGTTAGAAATTGGTTGCACAGAAGTAGGCAAGGCATTTCCTAGTCGGATTTCTGGATGACTGCCTAAGTGAAACCACAGGTGTGTGTGTGTAGGCCAACAAAAAGGGCTTCTTTCAATTACTGCTGTGCATGAATTTTTGATAGTTTTACTTCTCTTACTTCCTAAAAACTGGTAACATTTATAGAATAGTATTTAACACAAAGATTTTAAACAATGGGTTGCTACCTTGATATTAAGTTTACATTAACGTACTGTTATGTTGGCCAGATAAGGACTGTCACCTCACAGCTGAATTTCACTTCTCTTAAAAAAATTTAATATTAAAATGTTTTCATCTCTTGGTTGTTGGCTTGCTTGCATGGATCATTCATCAGATAATTTTTTATTTGCTAGATACCCATAATATCTGCCGAACATCTGACTAGCCACAAGTATGTAACCCAGATGTAGAATTTTCATCACTAAACAGTAAGTTCATTATGTCATATATAGTGTGTATTTATTCGTAGTGGTTTTTTAAGATAACCTTGGTATGCTGCGCTGCAGAAAATTTTGCAAAATTTTTATGAGAAAATATTTATATGTTTTATTTTATTTTAATTATTTTTTTAAATTCAGTATCATCAGATACTTACTGAACACCTGCCTAGTGACTGGCACAGTTCTATACGTAGAAGGTACAGACAAATTAAACAAAGCTTAGATGAATGAATGTACTTAGAAAGCAGCATCTGTTTCAGTACTGAAGGTTTTGAGTGGAATAAGGAATTTTTATCTTAAATGGGTTATCTTTATTTTTTATTTATCCTTATCTTTATCTTTATTATATCTTTTATTTTTATCTTAAATGGGTTATGAGGAATTTTATTATACACATTTATAATACATATGTTAATATCACTTAAATATACGTACTACTTAGGGAAAATAAATTTTGTTGATTAGATTGTTATTTTTATTAGAAATAAACACAAGCATGAAGAAAAAAATGTGACGTAAAACTAAATAGATGGTATCGATCTGAAAAGCCCAGGTAGTAAATATTTGTGGCTGTGTGGGCCACATGGCTTCTGTTGCCACTTTTTTCTGTTGGAGCTCTTCAGCTCTGCCCCTGTAGCATGAGAGCAGCCAGAGATGATATGGAAATGAAAGGGTGTGGCTCTGTCCCAATAAAACTTTATTTACAAAGCTAGGCAGCAGGCCTGGTTTGGCTCACAGGTAGTAGTTTGCTGAGCCCTAGTGTAGGTCATCATTTTTTAAAATATTTTTTAATTTTTTGCTAAATCCTAAATGAGAACATGTACCCACTTCCCCCCATGCTTCACCACACACACACGCACACACACACACGGGGTTATTTGAATGTAGAGTCGGACTTTTTTTTTTTTTTTTAAAGATTTTACTTATTTATTTGAGGGGGAGAGAGAGAGAGAGAGCACAAGTAGGGGGAGGAGCAGAGGGAGAGGGCGAAGCAGGCTCCCCACTGAGCAGGGAGCCCAATGTGGGGCTCAATCCCAGGACCCTGGGATCATGCCCTGAGCTGAAAGCAGATGCTTAACCCACTGAGCCACCCAGGCGCCCAAGAGTTGGACTTTAAATAGATGTATACACACACTCACATCTATGCATACACATACATCTACGTATCCGAATGAATTTTAGGTACTTCAAAATAGTCACCTTAGAGGATTGCATAATTCTGAAGATGTTGCCATTGCTCAAAAAATAATTTGAAAGTCTTGTGATTTTCCTTTAGACACATTGACTTAGATACTTGTGAAAGGTGGCCATTTTTCATCCTTAGAGGATCTGTTTTATTCAGAATACATGCATTCAATCTATCATATCTGCTCAGAATATTCTTTATACTTAAAAAGAGCCATCGTGTTTAAAACTGAATCTGGTAATAAGATGGGTGATCCTTCTTTCTTGCTTCCCTCCATGTATCTGTTCATGAACACACTTAAAAATGATTTTTTCGTGCTGCTATGTATTACTATGTGCTACCATGTCAGTGAGATAAAGTGAATAGACAATGAGATAAAGATGGAAATTTCAGCACACTGTGTTAAAATACGAGAGTTTTGGGGCACCTGGGTGGCTCAGTCATTAAGCGTCTGCCTTCGGCTCAGGTCATGATCGCAGGGTCCTGGGATCGAGCCTCGCATTGGGCTCCCTGCTCGGCGGGAGGCCTGCTTCTCCCTCTTCCACCCTCTCTGCTTGTGTTTCCTCTCTCGCTGGGTCTCTCTCTGTCAAATAAATAAATAAATAAATCTTTAAAATACGAGAGCTTTGAACAAATTTCTCTTGGAGCAAAGATGAAGGAGCAACTTCTTCCAGCAGAGTCAGCAAATAAGTGAATTGGGGCAATGGTGGTCGCTATAGAGAGAAGGGAGGATTGAGGGCCTTTCCAAAGAAGGGACAGTGTGTGTGAGTGAGAAGATGGTGGCAGAGAACCAGTTCTGAGGCCCTTGTGATCATAATCCACAGCAATAACTGGACAAAGGTTGAGCCCATGCAGGAGAAGAAGATAGACACAATTTGAGAGCAATCCAAGAAGTACTACCAAAGACATGCTGCAATCATGAATTAAATTATTGAACATGATTTTTGTCTACTTCAGAAGCTTTCTCAATAATCTGATAATAAATTATCCTGAACAAGAGCCACATTTCTGAATAAGCACATTACTTTGTAGTATGTAGGTTTGGAAGTAGAGTTCTCCTTTTGACACGTTTTAAAAAAGATCGACTTTAAGCTTTTGTAGTCAATTGGGTATGTTTGGAATGTGTATATGTAACTATGTTTAGTTCTGAGCCATAATCCAGGTTGAAAAAAAATGATACCAAGTGGCCGTAAGTTCACCAATTAGCAAACCAGTGGATTTGTCTGTTTTGAAAGCTTAGAGTCTTAATGTTCTGTTTGTCAAATGATTGCTCATTTTCATGAGTAGTTGCAATAATTAAACTGGTTGTTGAGTGTAGCAAAATGGTGACTTCTTTCATTCTCAAGATTGTATTCTAAAGCATACTTTTAATATTTAAAGATCCTCTGATGAGAACAAAAGTTCATGTAAAAACTGGAACTGTTAATTCACAAGTACACTGTAATATCTCTTCCACCTTAATTTGTCAGGAGCATAAGAGATTTTTATTTTTCTTGGCTTTGGGGGGAAAAAAAATCCCAAACTTTATCCAAAACAGTTATTTAAAGTATAATTTTTCCCCAAAACATATACTGCGCTAATGAAGCACCCAAATATGATGAGTCATGTTTAATAGGACTTACTGTTGCATGGACTTTAATTTTGTAGGACCAGATGATTACTCTTGCAACCTATTAAACCATAAAAGAGACGAATTAAAGTGAGCTTAAGTTCTGCCCCCCAATGACGGCGCTCAAAACGAGCTCTACTACATTCTGCCCCTTGATTCTGCAAATATATTTTATACTTTTAGCTCAGTATTGGGTAATATTTGAGCAAAGCCCACAATTTTATTAAGTTGTGCATGTCCTGTTATTCTCTTAGAGATGTAAATTTAGGTCCACTTGTACTCGTGAAGTGTTTTTTGTTCTTATATGAAGCTAGAACGACATACGTGTATTTACACTTGAAATCAAGAAATACAATTTTCATATTCAGTATATATTGGAAACTGCTTTATTGTCTGTTTTAACAAAGTTTATCTCTCTTTCCCTTGTAGATCATACTAAAGAGGAAAGGACAGTGTGCTTGGTTAGAGTAAAGGACGAGGTCATTAGCCATATTGTATATACCGTCAAGCAACACACACAAAAACCCCTCAGCCACAAGACATCCACATATTGCATGTTAACCAGAAGAAAAGACACCATGGAAATCCACTGCACACTGTTGCCTATACACTTTGTACATTTAATTGATATTTGTGCTGAGGTGATATTCCTGTCTAAAAGAACAACATCGTCTTTCTTTTCTAGCACAGAGTTATGCATTAAAATATGCATACCTAATTAGTTTCCTATATATTCATGCCATCTTGAAAAGACAGACTGTGGTGTAACCATGATTCTATTATGTATTGGTACGTCTGTAGACCAAGATATAATTTTTTAAAAATAAGTTTATTTCTTTCAAGGTTTACAAATAACAAAGGTGCACCTTGTATTTAAAATTGCCATTATAGATGAGAGCGTGCATGCACAGTCATTTTTGTTTGAGAGTAATATTTTTAATGTAATAGATTTTAAGATGCGGTGAGGGAGGGATCTGACAGAGATGAATGTGCCAAGCAAAACCACAACTGTGTATCTTTTAAAGCACATCATGGCTTTAAGTACCATGTTGTTAAGGATTCTCATGAAGTGCCATAGACTGTATATCAAATTAGAGTATTATTTCTTCAGTGTTATTGTTTTCAGAGCCACATTTTGTTGCTTATCTGCTAGTACTAATCAGTCAAAGGGCACCATTCTTTTTTTCTTCTTTTCTTTTTTTTTTTTGAAACCAAAGCTGTCTCAGAAATGGCCAATTTAACTCTACAGTAACAATAGACAGCACAACACAAACTCTCTCAATACAGATAAACTCACACATACTGGAGATATATATAATAGATATATATATATAAAATTATTTTAATGCATTGTAGTGTAATATTTCTGCATACTATACTGTATAACATGTTATTCAAAAGGGATATGCCATTTCTGAGACACGATAACAAAAAAAAAATGTTTGAGGAAATTATTTTGCTTCTATTTATAGCTCTGTCAAAAGTCAAAAGACTATAAATGCTTTGCAAAAATGGTTTCACATTTGCTTAAACGCTTCATCACAGTCACATTTAAAATAGTGACTCTAAACAGAGAAGAAAGCAGCACTGTCATCAGATGCATGATAAACCAAAATATGAAAATGGGAAATGTTTAATTAACCTAGTAATTGGGTGGGTTAAGTACATGGGTGAATTTTATATGTGATTTGTTTTGTTTTGTTTTGTTCTGATTAACTGCTTATAGCCTTAGAAAGCCTTTTACAAAATTAAAAAAAAAAAATAGATGTGCATTCAGTTTTTAAGAATGGATTCATCCAAAGGAATTCCTTTTTTTTGTGGTTTGGATGTTGCAGCTAGTAAAGGATATTTTTGCTCTGTTCAGCAGTTCTAAAAATTGCTGAAGTAGGGGCTAGGTCACTGGTAGTTATAGTATGGAATGGGAGAAGTGAAAGTTCGGTTATAGAACTTTCCATACTTCCAAGTTTACTGCAAGTTTTTATGCTTGAGAGAGATGCTTTCTAATATAAGACTGATGTGTTGATTTTACTGATTGTACTGTACATCTATTAAAGCCTTAGATTATTACATTACGGGTTGGAACCCATACCAATGTAATTTCAATCATGTTAAGAGAGTAATGGTGACTTCACATGTTATTGTAGTTAGTTACATTATAGAATATTACTTATTTTTCTTGTTAAAATGTAGTTTTTCATTTCCTACATTTATTAGATTTCATTTTCTATTAACAATTGAATACCATTTCAGTTTATAGACTATTGTTTTATTAGATTTTACCGATGAATTTTTCAAAATACAAAAAAAAATTAGTTTTTCCTTCATAACATACTCAGTTTTGAATTACATGTAGTGTCATACGAATATTCGTATTATTGTTAACTAAATGATTTATATTTTACTGATTTAATATTAAAGTGTAAGAATGTCAGTCATTGTTAGTTCTTGTCTAGTTTTCATTAAAAGAACAAAGATCTTTTATATGGATATCTTATAAATATATAATCATTGCTAAGTAAGAAGTTAAGTTGTTGCTATCGCAACAATCCTGGCAGACAATTGAGTAATATTTTGATGATTTATTTTGTTTGTAATTAGTTATTATAAGAAGATCTAGATCCTAGATATTAGAATAAAATTTATTTTCTACTGTATCCATTTCAAATGTTAAAGTATTGTTTAATATTTTTGAAATCCCTGAATATCAGGCCTTGTTATAAATAAGCTGCATAATCAATAAATAGAACAAGGGACTTTTTGTTGATAATCCAAATACTCAAAGTTTACGTAATGAGAATTATAGCGTGTGTGCAAACTCTTGAGGGTTGATTATGCTGCAATTTAGCATGTTGGAACGTCTAGAGAGAAGGTTGACTTTTTGCACTTCTGTATATAGTCAAAAGAGAGAAACCTGTATAATAGTAAGATCTTATTTTGAATAAAAACGTCTATAATTACAAGGAGTTTTGTTAAGGCTAATAAAATGACAGACTGAGCAAAATTGCTTGCAAAAGTGGCACAGAGTTAGCACTCCATATCCCTTCAAACATGTTGCTTTGCTTTATTGTGGACAGCTTGTAGTTTGCCAGGATTTTTTCAGCTGGAAAGATATGCCATCCTTCCGAGATCTCATGACTGACAAAAACTCCATTGGGCCAAATCTGCCTGAAGATCATTACCAAAAATAGCAGGTACTTCAACCATTAAGGTGAAATCATGGATCAGATATTCCGTACATTTTTCAAAACTGCATGTTTAAAACATCAACGAAAAAAAAAAAAACAAGAGAGAAAGAACTATACTAAGGACATATATTATACAAATCAGTTTCTGCCAATTTCAGTGGTTTATTGTTCACAAAAAAAAAAAAAAAGAAATCTTTAAAACAAGTATTGACTTTCACAAAATTTAAACCATAAACAGGCAAACCAAACAGCACACCGTAGCTATAGTTATGTGATTGTTTTTTAATTGCCGTAGGATCCTGTTCTTTCAGCAGGTGAAAAATAAAACACAGTTCAAATTTCACGGTTTTAATTTTCAACTCAGAAGCACTCAAAAAAGCAAATGTGATAATGGGCACTTGTTTAATGAATTTGTGTATCCAGCCTTCACTCCAGCTGGTTATCATGTTGCACTTATCAGCAACCCACCCGCTTTCATCTGCTGAAAGGACAGATGTGCTTGGTTTTACTATTATGTAATCACAACTTACTTTCTGCTTGTAGTTGCTTAAAATTATGTATTTTGTCTTGGGCTGCAATTTGTTTTATGCTTATTTTATTATTACTGCAGTAGTTGACTTTGCTGTATGGAAAAATAAAGTGAAATTGCCCTAATAAAACTTCTCTTTCTTAAGTATATTTGTGTATCTGAGACTGAAGAGTAAATTATTTTTGCGCGTTTCAAGCATTCATGCCTGTCTTTAGGAACATATTGATATGAAAATTCATCATCTGGTTTTAACCAATTGCGAGGAAGGCGTTTGCTATTTTTTCACTAACTATCCTTTGGTACCGGGAGTGAATCTGAATCACAACGTATTACCCAGTATTTTCTGGAAACTCTTGCCGTCCCCGCCCCTGATACTTCAAGTACTGTCTGATATTATTTTAGGTATAGGGGAGGGAAACTGTAAGTGGAAAAAATTCTCTCATCAATTCCAGAGCACTGTTTTTCTATTAAAGAATTTTTTTTTTTTTTGTCTGATTTCCCCAAGAGACTAACACTGGAAAATCAGGCAATCTAAGGGAATACTTCAATAATGAAATAATGATTGATTCAGAGGGATGAAGGGGGTTACACATATACAGCTGAGCAAGGCCATGCCATAACTGTGTGTGTGTGTGTGTGTGTGTGTGTGTGTGTGTGAAGTTTTTAAACAATGAATTAAAAATTTGGTTGAAGTGAGGGTCTAGTATCCCATAGAGCTTTGCATTTTGCAATTTCCACAAATAGCAAGTGAAAGCCAAAATTCCCATGTGAAGAAATTTGCTCATTTGTTTCTTTAGTGCTGTTTTATGTGATTTCCACTTCGTATTTGACCAAAGGCTGCAAATTCTCCTTTATAGATCGGTGCTTTTTTTCCCTAAAACTTAACTGCAATGAGAGTAAGTATATTATTTATAATTAATACAATTCTGTTATTGTTTGAGTTCTATAGAACATTTCTGTTATTCTCAGTGGACCCAACTATCTGGGGTGCCACTTATCAAAAATTGAGTAACTGTCCTGGAGATGAGTATCCAAAAGCAAGAGTTTGTGATCTTGAATAACATCAAAACATCCGACTCTCTCCAGTTAGTCATAGTATTTTGGGTATCTTTTAATTGAAAAAGAGTGACAGTAATGAACAGCCATTGTAACATTTTCAGTACTTTAAATGATGCTGTATTATATTAATCACAACAGAAAAATGGTGTTTCAGATACTTAAGTTATATTTTCCAGGCAACACTTACTGTTCAGAAGGAGCTATTACTACGGCGACCACTAGGGGTCCTCAGCGCACAGGATGGGACCCTGTCTTAGAAGTCCTCCCGTTTCTTACCCGGGGAGCAAAATCATTTGCTAGAGCTGTTCTTTCATTACAGACCCTTGACACAAAGTTTACACTTTGGAATCACCCTGGAGGTCAGTGAAACGTAGCAATCTATAATGTCACTGAGGCACACTTTGAACAGTAGCTTCCTTCACACAGGAAATAGTCATTTAACATGTAAGCAAAACTGTGGGACACTCAGCAACAAGATTTTGTGATTTTTCTACTTGTTTTTACTCCATTTTCTAATGAGTCTGAGGCAGTCACTTTAAGACTTGAGGTACTCTTATGTTTTGGAGAAAATAGTGTGTTGAAAGCCTAGGAGGTATCTGCTTTAAATGTTTCAAGTCTACTGTATTACAGAGAGGTCCAAAAATGTGAAACTGATTAAATGTCAAGCGATTTGTTTTAAGTTCTCTTGATCTGTCAGAACAACACTGGGTCTCACTGAAATGGCTTTAAAGTGGCGCTGTGCCTTTTGCTGGCATTGGCCCAGCCTCCAGCTCATCATTCTTGGCATGGTTGACCCCAGCCATCTTTAGAAGGGGCCTTGGCCCCAGCAGCACTTGGGGTGGGTGGTAAATCTGCAGCTTCCTTCAGACTGTGGCTGTGTGAGGCCACACTGGGCCACAGCTTCCCCTCCAAATTTCTTGGGGGTTGGACTGTAGGTTTCTCCCAGGGCTGTGTGTGCTCTGAACCCCAGAACAAAATCCAGATGTGTGCCAGGCCTGAGCTGGGCCTGGGGCTCAGGAACTCTCCTTGTCCCAAGCCCTACTGCCAAGCTTCCTCGAAGTCGTCAGCATTTGCCCTGGACACTTGTCATCCTCAGCTGCCCTGTCTAACCCCCACCCCTGCCAAGGGTTCCACGCAACCAAACTCAGGGCGGACCCCTTTATCAGAGGAATCTGAGGAATCTGACCCCCAGGTCTCCCCCAGTTCTCTCTCTTTTGTTGCATGAGCTTTTCCTTTGTTCATGTATTTTTTTTTTCTTTTGCTAATTAAATGTTGGGAAATAGAACAAAATATAGCCTGCCCCTGAATTTACCGTTTTAGGAAAAAACAGCAGGGGCAGGTTAGAACGCAGATAAAGTCTGTTACTATTAGTGGCCTGATAAGGTCTTTCAGAAACGATTTACTGAAGCAAGAGTGATCAGTTTCTTTCTCCCTATTTGGGTTTCATAATGACAAAGGGTGGGATTTCTTTTTCAACGGATAACAAACCATGAGGTTTATTCATGGTGGTTGGAAGCCTCCAGGTTCTTATGTAAATTCTAACTGCCACTCTCAGTCCCATTTGCCTCTTGGGGGAGCCTGGAATGTAGAATCCTTGACCTTGGAACTTAGAGCTCAGTGGCGGGGCTTATACTCCAGCTTTCCGTGGGCTTGCAGGATTCCACCGTAAAACGTGCGGTTTCGCTAGAGGGAAATGCAACCATGCGCCATGGCCATGAATACATCTCCTAGGACATAAAAAAGCAGCCATGAAAGAAAACATGTTCTCCATAGGAGGGTCCCACAACTGTGCAACTCCTCAGGTCCAAGTGCCTAGTTTATTAAATCTGATCTGGCCCCACACACACAGCTCTGGGGGGATTAAGTACTGAGGCATACCCCCAAGTTGTAACTGAAAGGCAATTGCTTGGACATGGATAGCTATGACCAAGCTTGCCCCTGCAGACAGGAGATCTTCACAGAAAAATGGCCAAGTTCATAGTAGACTTAGAAACCAGCAGTCATGGTGACTCTGAAGGTCTGGAAATAAGTGAGTGTTCTGTAGGAGTACATACTTGAACTTAAATTTAGAGCAATGAAGTGCCAGAGAACCAAAAACTTAACCAAGCAGATCTCCAAAGTCCACTTAGAATGGCACACAGTACACTAGTCCGGAAGAAATTATATGCCTCTTGCCTGAAGTCATAGAGTGAGAGTAGCAAAGCTAAGCAGAAAACCTAGGACACCCCCTACCCCCGGAAGTCCCATAATGTAACATGACTTTAGGTTCAGGATGAAAGAGGAACTTTAAGCCTGCAGCAGAGGCTGAACCAAAGAAGCCATAGTAGTTGGCGTCTAACAGTCAAAACCTGGGACCTGAATAGGGTCTCAGGAACAGAAAGAACCTCAGTGTATGCTCCACTTTGCTTGACCCCTGGGCCCCTTTTTTTCACAAGTGCAACCAATTCCCAGATGTGGACTTCAGTGGGCTCTAAAGATAAATATAAGTAGCAACAACATCTGGGGGTGGGAGGAGGTTAAGGAATTGGGGCACAACCTTTTTCATGGTAAAGATAGGTAGTACCCAGGGAGACCGTATCACAGATGCTGGTAGTAAACAAACCGCATATGAATAGATTATAATTTCCTAAAATGTTTATTTTTAAGATGTGTGTTGAAAATTTCCTTAAATTCATAAAAATCAAAGTTATGCATTAGAAATGGCAGTAAAGCACTGGGGAGCCTTTGCAGTGGTTAAGATGAAGGGCTCTAGAACCAGACCACCTGGATTCATCTCTCAGCTTTTCAACCCTTTGCATTCCTTTACCTCCCTGTGACTCAGTTTCCACCTTAGTAAGACAGGAATCGTAACAAGAATATTTACCTTGGGTGATCATTGAGTGGTTCCCAGACTCTGCTACAGTTTGGAATTATCTGGCAGATCTTTAAAAAGTATTGATGCTGGGTCCCTACCCTTAGACCTCTGATTTAATTGCTATGGAGGCAACTCCTGGGTTAATATACATAAAGAGCTTAGAACAGTACCTGACATATAGCAAACACTTGATACATGTTACCTATGATTGCTATTTTCTTATTAGCCATTTTGTAGATTATTCTACATGATCTTTACCTTTTGGTCCTAGTTCTTAGGTTACACTTCCCTTTGCAAGGAGCCTGGGGCCATACCCTGTAACTATTTGTGTTATCCATAGTTCTAGCTTTCCTGTTAAATAGTGAAACTTTATCTTCTTCTAATTTACCACAGCTCCTCATTGCTGCACATGTAGTGAATGTTTCAAAAAAAGAATCAAGTACTTTTTGACTCATTCTGAAAATTTGTACTTCATTTTCCAGCACGATGTGACCATGGATCATACCTAAACCATGTCAGTTTGAAAGTGATAGTTTAGACTTATGTAAGCTTAATTATTTGAATTTTCCTGTATTTAAATTGTGCTTGAGAGCCAGTAACGGAATGGATGCATTAATCATCATAAACATGTGCCTTTAAACAATGTATTTAAAATATTTATTATATTTATCAAAATAATCTTTCCATATCATATTTTATCATAGGTTTATTTTAGATGCTTAACTTAGCACTCAAGCTCTATAAACACACACTGTAGTTAGACTCTATGTGCCAGGCACTGTGCTAGGCTCTGAGATACAAGATTGAATGGCAACAAGTTCTCAGGGCAATGACGAAAATAAGATGTATAGAGTACTGAATACACACTGATCTATTATCTATTACCTCCCACAACCGTCTCAAGCCCTCTAACTGTATCACAAAGTCATTTAAAATAACATTAAATGAAAATTACTCTTTTTGAGTGTAATAATCTGACTGCCCTACTCATTACCCAACTCATTTTATCCTTAAGAAGTAATCTGAATATTGAAAACTCTGTATGATTAAGCATGTTAATTGCAGCAGTTTTTATAATGGCAAAACCCAAGAACAGTCTTGGTTTCAATAGTTAGAAAATGACTAAGTAAAATATTATAGAGTGTTATGTATGATTTAATTACATGGAAAGTAATTTTAGTGGTAGGATTATAGGAGGCTTTTTAAATTTTCTGGGTTTTAGAATTTCTAATTGTT